TGGGATAACTGGAGAGACTGAGATGACTAGAGTGACTGCAATGAGTGGAATATTAGGATGACTTGGATGACTAGGGTTACTGGGATAACTGCGATTACAAGGATGACTGGGATGACTATTACTAGAATAACTAGGACGAGAGGATGACAGGGATAACTAGAATGCCCGTAATGACTAGGTTGCAGCAGGGTCTGATTTTCTCTTCGATTTTTTGTTCCATTGTTTGTCTGATTTTTTGTTCAATTTCTTGTCCTATTTTTTTGACTGATTTCTTGAAACATTTTTAGCTCGATTTTTTTGTCCAATTTTTTTCCGATTTCTTGTTCGATTTTTTGCCCAATTTCTGTGTTCCTTTTTTGTCCGATATTTTTGCCCGATTTTTTTCCCATTGTTTTGTCGATTTGTTGTCTGATTTCTTTGTCCGATTTTTTTATGACTGTTGGATGTCTGATGTCTTATGTCTGATTTCTGATGTCTAAAGTCCAATGTCCGATGTTCCATGTTCCATATCCCATGTCCCATGTCCGATGTCGCACTTTCAATGTCTGATGTTCGATGACTGATGTCTTATGTCCGATATACGATATGCCTGATTTTTGATGTCAGAGGTCCGATGTCCAAAGTCCAATGTCCGATTTTCGATGTCTGATATCTGATGTTCGGTGTCAGATGTCTGACAGCTGATGCCTAATATCTGATGTCTCATGTCCAATGTCTGATTTTCGATGTCTGATGTCCCATGTCCCATGTTATTGTCCGACTTTTTGTCCAATTACTTGTCTGCTTGTTTGTCCGATTTTTTGTTCAACTTGTCTGATTTCTTGTAAGATATTTTGTCCGATTTTTTGTACATTTTTCGTCTGATTTTTTTTGTCCACTTTTTTGGTCGATTTTTTTTTTCAATATCTTGTCTGATTTTTTGTTCGATTTATTGCGCGATTTTTTTTGATGTCGATGTCTGACGTCTGATTTTCAATCTCTCTTGTCCACTGTCCGATGACCCATGTCCCATGTACGATTTTTCTTTGATATTTTGTTCAATTTTTTGTGCGATTTTTACTGTCCAAAGTTTTTGTCTGATTTTTCGTCTGATTTTTCTTGTCCAATTTTTTGTTCGATTTTGTTCAATTATTTTAAGTCCTATTTTTTTGTCCGATTTATTGTCCAATTTGTTGCTCGACCTCTTGTCCCATTTTTTGTCGGATTTCTTGTCCGATAGTTTGTCCAATTTTTTTTATCCGATTTCTTGTCCGATTTTTCTTGTTCGATTTCTTGTCAAGTTTTTTGTCCAATTTTTTACCCGAATGTCGGATGTCTTATGTCCTATGCCCCACGTCCGATGTCCGACGTCCGATTTTCGATGTTTGATATCTGATGTCTGATGTCTTATCTCCGATGTCTGCTGTCCTACAGTTACTGGGATAACTGAGATGGGATAATTATGACTAGAATAACTAAGATGAGAGGAGGACTGGGATGACAGGGATAACTGGGATAACAAGGATAGCTAGAATGACCAGGATGACTAGGTAGCAGGGTTCGTACCCTTTTCTGAACAAAAAATTCAAGCATTTTTCAAGAATACCAATGACAGACTTGAGTCTGTCTTTTTTAGTTCTTCCACAACATGACTGCAATTTTAATTTTTATCAAGAAGGTCTTTTTGAGTTTGCTCCTTTAAGCACTTGACAATCTGGGTTTGATAAAGTTAGCACTGAAATTCAAGAACTTTCCAGCACTGACTGCAATTTTCAAGGACTTTCATGGTGCGTGTGAACCCTGAGGGTGACTGAGATGACTGGGATTATTTGGATGACTGGAGTATTTTTATATTTTATTTTATTAGCTTTGCCAACATAATATAATTCCATTCAGGTAAAAAGTTACAAAGATAAAGTTGCAGGGATTCGGCAACAGTGCAAGCCAGTTACTGCGGGCCCAGAAAATTAAAAAATATAAGAATAGTTAAAATACATAATCATAAAATTAAAAGCTTACGAGACAGGCCGCGCAAGACTACAAGACTTATTACATTTAAGACAGACAGACTAAGAAGTGTGGGGATTTTCACAGTCGTAATTACTTAAGGCAGTTTTGTAATACTCTACCATTGCCTGTTTAAAAATCGTTCAGGGCATTCATGCACAGGTTCAGTTCATCAACAACAATGTTCCAGATGCGTATGCATCTGATGATATTAATAGGACTTTTGTTAAGTTGCTGTCTGACATTCAGGCTCTACAAATTTAATAACACCACTAGATAAAGATCTGGTAGGCCTCGTGATGCGATTGATGGATCTACCAATGCAAGACCATGAATGATTTTCAAAAAAAAACACCATATCTAGATACTCGTGCCAGAATGTTAATGGAAGCAGATCCAAAGATTTTTAGGTCTATTCATGTAAGAAATTGTGCAGGAAAAAGGCAATTTGAGAATATATTTAGTGGCACGCCTCTGTGTCCTTTCAATTCTTGTAATTAACTGGAGTGACTGGGATGGCTTGGATAACTTGGATAACTGGAAAGACTAGGATCACTGGGATGGCTAGGAGGACTAGGTTTACTGGGATGACGGGAGTGACTTGGATGATTAGGATAACTTACTAGGTGACTGGGATAACTGTGATAACAGGGATGACTTCAAAAACTGGGATAACTAGGATGATGAGATAACTGAGATGACAAGGGTGCCTGGTATGACTGGGATGAAAAGGATGACTAGAATGGCTAGAATGACTGAAATAATTTGGATGCCTGGAATGACTGGAAAGACTAGGATGACAAGGATAAAGGGAATGACTAAGATGACTGGGATGACTGGAATGAGTGGGATACTAGGATGACAAGGATGAAGGGAATGACTAGGATGACTTGGATGACTAGGGTTACTGGGATAACTGAGATAACCAGGATGTCTGGGATAATTTGCATGAATAGGATGAAAGGGATGAATAATAATGAGATGACTTGGATGGCTGAGATGACTGGGATAACTAGGATGACTGGGATGCTTTGAATGGCTGGAATAACTTGCATGATTAGGATGAATATTAACGAGATGACTTGAAAACAGAATGACTGGGATGCCTGGGATGCCTAGGATGACTGCATGACTACAACAACTAAGACAATAATTGGCAAGACTATGATGAATAGGATGACTTGGTTTACTGATATAACGGATGACAGGGATGATTGTGATGAAACAGAAAAGTAGAATTACTGGGATGATTAGGATGAATGGGGTAATGAGATAACTGAGATGACTAGGGTGACTGGGATAACTCTGATGACAGGGATATGTTGAATAAAAGGGATGACTGGGATGAATGGGGTGGCTGTGATGAATGGAATGAGTGAGTGGGCTTGGATAACTATGATGACTACAGAGACTGGGAAGACAAGGATGAATGGGTTGACTGGGATGACTAAGGAGACAGACACAACAGTGGTGACCTCGTTGACTAGGACAACTAGGGTGGGTGAGATTTATTAGAATGACTACAATGACTGGGATGACTGGGTTGACTGGCATAACTAGGATGGCAGGGATGACAGGTGAGACTAGACTGACTGGGATGACTGGGATAACTGGGATGACAGGAGTGACTAGGGTGACTTGATGACTAAAATGACGGTGATGACTGGGACTACTCAGTTGACTACGACGCTTGGTTTGGCTTGGTTTGGCTTGGTTAACTAGGATGAATAGGATGACTGGAATAAGTTGGATGGATAAGATGAGTAGGATGATTTAATGAAGGAGCCTGAAAAAGATTTGATACTTTACAGAGGGAAACAGTGGGATTTGGAATTGTGTGTACCTCTGGAAAAATCTTAAACAAAACGTAGTAGTTTCAACAGTTAAGGAAGTTAAAAAAAACTGATACCTGAAATGCCAGAAATCACCAATGGAGGACCACGATCCCTCTGCTTCTTGAAAAGTCATCCCTTTAATTGAAGAAATGTTTTTGATATCCAACTTGTGATGGCCAAAGAATCTCCCGCAACATCACCAAGTGGGAGGGGTTCTGTTAAATGGCCAGAGATGCAAGAAATAATACAGGTAAATTTGACTGTCAGGTAGAAAGGAAGAATTAGTCTCCCTACAGTACCTATACATGGATGTCTATTTTTCTGCGAAAACTGTTTCCTAACAGAATAAATAAATGAAGTCTTGCTTCTTTTAAAATTCATTAAAAAATTTTAACAAAAAGAATTGCCTGCAGACTATTAACTTTTTATACTTTGTAATTTTTAAATTTTGTGATCTGACAACAGCTTTACATTGGCTTGTGATGACTATGATCTATCTCAAGAAACATTAATTTTTAAGTTAATAAGATAATAATAATAATAATAAATACTTAATTATCCACTCCTGCTCGGCCATGCTGCCTCCAATTACTAATAAAAAAAATGGCTGTACAACAACAGCTGGGTGATTATAACCACTGCAAATGTCCACTTCCTTATCAGAGAAAAACCCTGAGCCAGCTTACCCCACACTCAGGGCACTTTCCAAAAGTCAGAACTGGCTGGCTGGACCTTGGCTGGACTGGTCAATTTGACAATGAAATAGAACTTTTACAAAGAGTTTTTGCTGAAAAATCATCTCCTTCTTGCCTTGCAGACACCCTGCTATAACGCACACCCCGATAATACAGATAGCGGCAAAATCACAGGCAAAAATGAATTTCAGACGTTTTGCCTGAAAGTATAAACTTTCGCTATTACGGACTCTCGGTAATGATGACACTAACTTGAGGTCCCTGCAGTGTCCGCTGGAAAGAGAATTGAGTTCATTTAGCATTTGACTTATCTGACTGAATAGTTTGATTAAAAGTGAAATTCTCATTGCAATGGGAATGGTCTGGCTAGTCAGTTCTGACAAATGGAAAGCACCCTTAGTGATCTCCCAGGCCGGTCATAGACAGAGTGACGTAAACCCAAGTCTCTTAAATGAAGTAGGGTAGCTATTAATAATAAATTATTCCTACGTACCAAACCAGTTGTAATTCCTAGACTGTGATGCTGTTGTCCTCTAAATCCAGACTCTCCTCTAAAGAATGCAGTCCATTTAAATATCAATCTCTGACCAGCTTGCCTCATTTGTTGTCTTTTTTCAGCCTGAAAAACAATTAAACAAACCATTTTTATCAACACATAAACTGGTGATGATAAGATCGCCACTTCTTGCTATAAATCTCAATACTCCTTGCAATCCATAAAAAACACCTTATGAACATGAATAAAGTATAGTAACATTTCCTAGATGGAGAAAATCAACCATTTAGACTTAAGAAGTGGAAACAATAAATGAGCTTGACAAATGGTGATTTGAAATAATGTCAGGACTGATAACGTTCCATTCAATGGCAAAAATAGCTTAAAAACTAATGGCTGTCACTCATTTCTTAAACCCACTTATAGATGTTTGGATATCACATTATAATATCTGCTTTATGTCTAATGACCAAATCTCACAATGCTGTTCTTAAACCATTAACTCTATGGTAGAGAATTAACTCTTGTCTCAAGTATGATAGCAAACATTAATACCCTTCAGCAGTAAGACACAGGGGTATAGCAAGGGTTTTTGGAGAAACAGCTATGCACAGTTTTCCAAATCCCCCTCCCCACATCGTTAAAGCCCAAATCTTTTTCAGGTTTCTTGATTAAAAAGAGGTTGCGGTGTAAGCTTATGTTTATGAAATGACATGGCAGGAAGTTGAAAAAATCATAAACTGGTTGTCATTTATTACACCACCAAGCTACTATCTTGTTTAAAAAATGGTTTTACACTGACAAAAGCACCCTACATACATCTCATTCATCACAGTCATCCCAGTCATCCTAACCAACCAATTCACACCAGTAATCCCTGATCATCCCAGTCATCCTAGTCATCCTAGTCATCCCAGTCATCCTAGTCATCTAAGTTATCCTTAGTGTCATCCCAGTTGTCCCAGTCATTTTATCCTAGTCATTCTTGTTATCAGTCACCCTAGCCATCAAAGTCATCACAGTCATCCCAGTAATAACAGTTATCCTCATCATTCCAGTTACCCCAGTCATTGTAGTTGTTCAATTCATCCTAGTCATCCTGTTTAAATAGGTGTGAATCATGTCATCATTGCTTAGAATATGATGTTGGATCATATATTTTGATTATAGGCCTTATCATGGTTTTGACGAGTAGGCAACTGTGTGAGACATTACAGTGTTTGTATGAGAATCTAATGTCGAATAAACTTTCCGTAAAATGGCTGTTCTGAAAAAATATGAATTGTAAACTAAAGCATCACTCCTAATGATTCTAGTTAAAAGATGTGAGGTCGTTACATGCAGCTACATGCGCTAGAACCACTTTTTAACATTTTCTATACATTTGCCTGTAAAATTTTCCCACGAAAAATTGCAGACAAATATATGGAAAATCTAAAGCTAGCATCTGGAGAAATTTAAGTACAGTAACGGCCCCCAAAATTTGATAGTAAAATCCTTTGCTGCATAGCTTTCGTTTCCAGTTCATATTATTTTCAGTATAGGTGTTTTATAGAAATACTATTCAACATTAGATTCTCACCGTGATAAGCCTGCGTAGCAAGCGATTCCACTTGGTTTTGGAGAAAAAAGGGATTGTGGAGGAGGATTCTCGGTTTT